CCCCAAAACCCCAAAACCCCTGTATTCAAATACTTAAGATATTAGAAAATTATACATCATAGATAATTAATTCTGAGATTCAAAAGGTCTTCTTTGCTCTTCTAAACCTTATCTCTAAATGAACTTAAAGCTGTCCTGACCCTATCAAGTTTAAATCTAGCCTTATCAGATATTTCAAAAGCCTTAGAATTTCCATTAGCTCTTTAAATTAGTTTTTCAGTATAATTTTTATCATAACTATCCTTGTCAAAAATCGGATTAGGGATGGATCTATGTGACAATAATATTAGTTCGGCCTAACTAAGTTTATTTTTTCTTATGAACTCCTTATCAATTTTTTGTTCGCTAGTTCCATCATCAACCTTATTAATCTATTCATATAATTCTAATTGTTTCATGAGAAATTTCTTCGTAAAAAACTTTTTTTCATTGCTTTTTTTCTACATTTACTTTATTTATCTTATAATTTTCTCTTTTTTTTATTTCAGCTACTATTCAGACATATAATCACTGTAATTTTACAATCCATTATTTTCAACAACAAGTCCCATTAGTCCATATCTTCAATTGAGGTTTTATTAAATTTCATTTGTAGATCTTATCCTGGAAATATTGGTAGAAGGCTGAACAACTTTATTTTTTACCTCTTAGGTTTTTAAGTTTAATTGAGTTTAATGCTATTATTTCTAGTATTTTTTCCCTAATTATCTTAATGAACTAACCTAACCATTAGAAATTATATCTAATACCATTGGGCTTAATTATGAATCTGGAATATTTTTTGTGAATATACCTTTAGTGCTGCCATTTGTATGCTAAAGACTATTATATATTTTGTAAGTCTCTTCCATTTCTCTTGTAAGCTAATAAGATGATTGTTAAAACTACGAAGGAGTCCTAATGTTTCTTTGAGAACTAGATGGATTATCCAGACTTCTAGTTCTCTTAGACATCAATTATAGTTAAATCTAATTTGAGTCTTCTCGTTGGATATTTTCTGTGAAGATAGTGCTAGCATTATCATCTTCTGACTCTGTTGTCAGTTTTTTTCTCAAAGATAAATTATGAGTTTAAGGTCTCTTAGAGGGCTAAAGATAAAATTCGATGTTTTTAGACATTTTGTTAAGTAATTTAGAGGTATATTCTTTACTGCCATGATTCTAAACAATAAGTCTATCCATTATATTATTTGGGTTATAATGTCTAATCTCATTTTTATACTTTGTCTTATACTTACAGTTATTAGGTGAAAGGAGCTTTTCCTTTCTCTTGTCTTCAAATAACTAGATTATTTTCTAGGCTCTCTCTTCATCGTAACCTATGTTTCCTCCTTCCTTTAATGCTTTATTTTTATCATTATTTTCTTTCTCCTTCTATTTTATAATTTCAAAGATGTTTGAAGATCTTCTCCGAGCATTTATTATTTACTAAGAAATCGGATTTAGGATGCTCGAATATTTTTCTTTTTCACTTTGTCTACTCTTGTCATAGTCTCTTAATACTTATGTCATGTGATGATCTTCTTTAATGCTCTGCTTGAAGTGAATGTCCTATTATCTAAAGAAGTCTTTATCTAATCTTTCATCATTGTTAATGTAAGTATCTCTTCTAGGCCTGTCAGTCAATGGTGTCATAATGTCTCGCTCTACTTTAATGGATTTCTTTTTACCGTCCAGAGACTATTACTACTAAGACTAGTATTCTAAAACATTCATATTTGAGGGTTCACTTTTGATTTTGCTCATATCTCTCCTCTTGGGACTTCTCTATGATTAAGCTCTTTGTTTAGAGCGTAATTAAGTGAACTTTTACTGAATTTACTTGTTGTCAAAGATTCGCTTGACTATTCCAGGGATTTCAGTAGCTTATAAAGGTCTAATCATCTGAATAGTTTTCGATGGTTAGAACAATAAGTTATCTTAGTTCTCTCGCTACTGAATCTTTTCAATGTTTTTATCATTGTATTTGAAGAGAGTTCCAAATTGAATTGTGTCTTTTCTCTTGTTCTAATACTTTAAATTTACGGTTCTATATCCTTCCATTTATTTTAAATTAGAGAGTGAACTAAAACGACTTATATTCATTTCACTAATCAATATAACCACCCTTTATTTTTAAATTAAAAAATTTCATCATTCATCGTTTAATATTCATAAAATTTCTCTATGGGGTTTTGGGGTTTTGGGGTTTTGGGG